AAAGTATACATTTTCTGAAAGCTGAATAAATGTAGAAACTATTCCTTTCTTTCTTTTTGTAAAATATAATAATCTCGTTAAGTTAGAGTGAATATTCAAACTTTTACATAAGTCTCTTCGCGGAGTTGCATACAGCCGCGTTACTGATCAGAAATAAGTGTTTACTTCCTTTCCGAGATCACTACATATCACTTGCCAAAATTGGTTTCCAAGTTTTTGATAATTTGCTCTGTTGCTTTGTTATGCGTTCCTAAAGATACAACGCCGCTGAAATATATGTATCCGATACAAAACTGAAGATAGCTTTGGAAGAGAGCAAACATTAAAAGTCGGAGACACCCTTTTTAAGAACAACTACCTGAGATGACTATTTTTAAAAATCAACGAAAAAAAGTAAAGATAAAGATTCGTTTTAATCGCTGTAAAATGCCAAGCTTTTAAATCATTATCAAAAAAGGTGCTTTCATCATTTCTGCCCTCACCGCTATAATAGAAAATCGTTGGCCTTTCTCAGGTTGTTCTAAACGCAATACCTGCTGCAAAGAAATTTTCAAGAAACGGGTAATTCCATTATTATAGGACAGGTGCTTTCATTTTCATCACCCTCTCTCTGTATTAAAAAATCGTTGACATTTTTTTAAATGTCGTAACCTTTTATTGGTGATTTTTTTTCTTTTTTTTTTTTTTTTTCCTTTTTTTTAATAAAACTTCAAGAAAAATTTCCTAAGTCATTATTGAAAAGCAATTTGAAATGTCGTTCTCTTCAGGGGTAACTTCTTCCTAAAAACTGATATAAACTGATACAAATGACTTTATTATTTTGATCACTCTAGGATATCTAGGATATCCGCTTTGCTTCAACCCCAGTTTTCAAGAAACGGTTAACTCCACCTCAAATGAGTGAAAATCTCCAAAATACATAAACATATGTTTTGTTTTCAAAGTTGATCGATGTTTTGTCCTTTCCCAACCCAATACACGAATTCCACTTCAAACTTAATAAAAGATATTTAAACTCAACTAAAATTTAAGATTTTAAATGAATTACGGTTATGACAGAATTCCGATACAAAACATTATACAAATCATTATAAAAAATACTGAACTATATTTCACACTCGGAGAGGTAAAGAAGAAGGGGAAAAAGACAAAAGACAAAATAATTCCTTTTTTTTTTTTTTTGTTGACCTGTAAGCTCAATCAACCTTGAGATCTCATTGATTGCTTTCAACATTATGAAAGAATATATAATGAGAGATGATCATTGTTGCAAAGGTATCAAAGATTGACGAACTACTCTGACGTGCTCACCGTTAGAGACGGGGGTGTTTCCTACTCGACTCTCAGAGGTACGTAGCTTTATTTTTAAAATGTTTAACTATCTAATACAAAAATKAAATACCAAATCTCCATTTTATTGCTCTGTTGTTTTATCAACTGATAGATCACCTACAAATCCTCAAAAAAGATATGCGACAAAAAGTATATCGTAGAATTAAAGATAAAATCTCGATTATTAAACAAATAGTAATGCTCGCTTTGACCTTGATTCATTTATAATAAATTTCACCTAGGCCATTTTACATGTAAGTTAATTTCATCCAAACTTCCACTCGGTTTGTTCATTTGGCTTCGTTTATCAGACTTTTCTTTAGTAAGGTCGTGGCTCGAGCCTCGGCTAGACCAACGGTTCATGGTCACTTAAATTAACTGGAGAGAAGATGTTGCCTTCGTAACAATGTCTACGAATGCTTAGACCTTCGTCTTCTCGGATTACCACGTAAAATCATGGCGGTCCCGTCGGCGACAGTACATTGCACTAATTTGATCAAATCCCCTCAAAATCTCCATACCCATCCCACAATCACCCCATTAAGAAATCACTAGTGAAGGCCAGACAATGAGAGTGATAATTGCCAGGTTTTCTTTATGTCCTCAGTCTGGTTCCTTAACGTCCCTCCGATAGTGAGGTAGTAGAGAGTTTTAGATTGACTTTTTTTTCTCCCCGCAAACGGCAAACGTGACCACGTTTTCATAGTTTTCCTGTATTTTACTTTACCTTTTACAAACCTTCTCCGTGACCAAGCGCAAATATATTCTTTTGTTTTTCTACTACTTGGAATTTTTTGCGATATTTTTCAGTGATTTAAAAGAATTTTGTACTGATCAACTGACGTTTCACGTTTGCCGCGAGACTGTGCAACGCCAGCCTGCGGGTAACATCTCAAATATAGGGTGTTTTGATATTTGGAGATAAGTAGTTGCTATTACAATTGTCATTGAAAATGGTGAACATATGTTCCAGTCAAATTTGGCATCATTAATAATAATAATAATAATAATAATAATAATAATAATAATAATAGTTGAAGTGGATGCATGAATGGCCAATGTAGAGAGTGCTTGTGTCCGAGGATCGAACCCACGACCAGGCACAGCGATAAGAAGCAGTGCGTTCACAAATGAAAACTTTTTTGTTGTTGTTTTTATCAGGTTCAACTGATCATTATGACATCAAGTTCAGGCTTCCAAGTAAAATTTCAAAAGATATGCATCATAACCGTACTATTCGTTCTTTTGGCATCAACAACCGCCAAAGAAAAGCCAGAATCCAAAAATCCAAGGTGGGCTCAAAAAATACTCGACGTTCTTAAAGCCAGAGATTCAGTCGTAAAAATTTTTACAGCTCTGGGAGAGAAGGTAACGAACGAGAAATTAGAAGAACTAGTTTCTAGCCTGATTGAATATACAAATAAATTCAAGGGTATTGACAACCTCGACGCCTCGACCTTGGAACAGGATAAAAGCCTCATTAAAGATATCTTCGATCAACCAGAAATGCCGATTGTTTCTAAACATTTTCGTAGCAATAATCTAGAATCGCACTATGGTGAACGTGGCTTAGGATTCGTATTGAAAACATTCAAGGGTTATCACAGCGCTCGCTGTATACAGCAAGTATATTCTCCTCCTCAGCCAGATAGAGGCTTTGAACTCCCCCTGCAATCCATGTGTACCACTGTTAAAGAAGATCTTGGAAAGCAAGAAAAGTACACTTACTCAACTGATAAAATCTGCAAGAATGTCAACGAGTGTGCCGGACAGGGAAAACCTCATCCCTATGGCGACTCGAAAGGTACTAGCGCAGCAGATGCCTGTACAAAAGAAGACAACAAATGCGATGTAATCAAAGCACTTCCCATGATGGGAGCTTTGTTGTGGTACAGGACGAGTGACATCATAGCACAGAGCCTTTGTTCTAATACTCTTGGCCAACCAGATGCGTCTTCACTGGACCAAAAATTAAAAGACCTTGATTCGATGTCACATATGGTTATTGCGTACGCCGCCACCCTACATTGGAGGGATTTCTTCCAAAAAGCAGCCAGAACAAGAGCATTTTCCAACCTTGAAAATGCTATGTCCTTGGTCGAACAACGAATCAAAACCATTGAATTTGCCACCTCAGCCTGCAAAAGTGTTGAAGCTACCGACATGTGCACGGTTGGGGATATTTACAAAGAATATCAATCACTAAAAGGATTAAAAAAGACCCGGACCACAGAAAGGCGAGACCTGCATCTCCAGGTCAACGTTGACCATGGAAAGATGGTAGAGTTAAAACAGGAAGCCCTGCGACATATTGAGCTTTTAGGAAACATCAGAAACCTCAATGAAGATCTCCAAGCATCTGTTAAAGGAATTTCAAAGTACTTTATTGGCCTTGCAGATTATGACCAACGTATTGCYGATGCTGATGTGGCATTTATTGATGGAAAACTAAAAGAGTTTGACGAAAAGGCTACAAAAGTGTCAAAAAAACTTGAAAAAGACATGCAAGCCGCCATGACATCAATGCTTGCAGGAAAGATAGCTCAGTTAATCGAAGAATCTGTTATTCTTAAACTGAAAATTGCTGAAAACATGAACCCACTAAAAGCCATTTTTGGTGGCGTGAGCGCAGGTGATATATATGACCAAATTGGACAAGTGGCTGCTGCCGCCGCTGATGTCACACATGCTGTAGCTCTGCAGACTTCGCTAATAGGGGTTCTCCAGGATACCTATCAACTGACCAGGAAATTTAAAGAAAACGCAAACCAGATAAGCGATTTGCAAACGCTCATAGACTCAATCAAAAACAACGACGTTAAAAAGCTTGAGGAAGATGCTGACAAATTTA